TATATGATCTTGGATACACTCTCCATTTAGACATACCTAATTGTTTAGCTTGTGGAACATACTCTTTCATCCAGCAATTTCATGCCTAGAAACTAATAATCATGGATGCATGCAAAGATTTAGCTCCAAAGATGTTCACCAATGCATCTTTCTAACAATCAACCAGTTACAACAAACCTAAATGTTGAACATTGTTGAATAAATTGTAGCAAAGTCCTTTAATAGAATGTTAGTAAATCATTAAAGATGATATTGTATAAAAATGTTAAAATTTTTTGAAAGAGAAATGAAGGTAATGAAAAAAATGATATTGTAGAAACATAGTTACTGAGACAAAAAGAAAAAAAAAAAAGTTGAGTAACTCATTGAGTAGAAAAGCAGGCCCCATAATACCAATACCATGTCTATTGTAATCCCATTTTTGTTGTTTCTTTTACATCTATGTTTGTACCAGGTCATGTTTAGTACTGAGAGCATTTAATTCTCATCACACACAGACAACAGAAGTACCAAACTTTATTCCCTAACAACTCCTGGGCCCTAGAAAGACCAGGGTGAAGCTTTGTATGTAAACTCCTGAGGAGGTCATGACTTCCTTCCCCAGCAATTAATTTATCTGTCTGCCCTAACCCATCAGGTGTCTCTTGTTACAAAGGAGCAAAGCAGGCATGACAGGCTAGGGTTGGCCAACCTAAAAGCCTACCTATCATATACTCTTCACTTTATGGTAGAGACTTGAGTGGGAGAGTTAAGAAAGCAAGACACCCTGGGGAGAAGGAGTTGGACTAGGAAAGGTGTTGAAGTACACCATGAATAGACAGTCTGCCCACCTAACTCTCCAAGGCACCGTAAATGAGCAAACCCGTTTAAGAATCTCCTTCATTTCATCTCTCCCCATTGCCCCCCAAAGCAAACTAACAGACCTAGATTCTCTTCTAGGCTTCTAGCTGGTGACTGGAATTCCTTTAATAAGAAACCAAACCTTTCTTCCTTTCCACAGTTTAGAGAGAAAAAATTAAAAATGCAGATGCCTCGTCAGGGCGTTCAATTTATACTAAAGTTCTAAAATGACTCTTTCTTACTTTGAAATACATAAGGGAGATCTTGGGTTGGGGGAGGGGTATCATGAGTGGAGACACTTTTTCCCAGTTTCACGTAGAATGAGCTGGCTCTCCTCAGTCGAGTGCACGCGATGCCATGCAGTGTTTCTGTGGGCAGTTGAACGAGAACTCTTTTCTGAGCAGCCCAGCTAACAGATGTGGAGCAGAGGGGTAGGCTGTGGTAGAGCCCGGATCCTGGGATGGTGGGACTCTAAACCTGGGTGACAAGAGCCAGCAGAACGGCAACTGGAGATGGCAGTGGAATGAGGGTTCTGAGGCTTCAAAGCAGAGAAAACCCTTGGAGTCCTTGTCACTTGGAACTTCCCCTCAACATTGCTCCTGGGACTGTGCTATGGTCTGCGTTGGGGTCCCCTGTGAGATGTAACCTAGGAGAAAGCAAGTGCCTGGAGAGGGATGGTCAGACCACGTTGTCCATACAGGAAACGTTTCCTTTTAGAGGGAAAGCAGAACTGAAATAGGAAACCATTAATTCTCCCTTGTGTCGGAGAACTATTTCCAAACAGTAAAAAACTGAACACTTAAATATATAGTGATCCTGGTTCACAGACATATTCAACTCATTAATGAGGGAACCACTAGGATCATAGAGCTGGTTTAAAAGAGGGCATGAGAAATTGATATAGTCAGTGGGAAAAAAGAGTGCTGGAGTAAGATTATAAACTTAGATACCAAATTCCAAACTAAACCAAACTCACTGCCAGTGAGTCGATTCTAACTCATGGTGACCCCATAGGGTTTCCAAGGCTGTAAATCTGTACAGAAGCAGACTGTCCCATCTTTTTTCTTCAGAGCAGCCAGTGGGTTTGAATCAATGACCTTTTGGATAGCAGCCAAATGCCTTAACCACTATACCACCAGAGCTTCCTAGATACAAAATTAACTAATATCTATTAAAAACAAGAAAGCAGTTGCCATCGAATCAGTTCCAACTCCTGGTGACTCCACGTGTGACAGAGTAGAACTGTG